CTCGGGCACAAATTTAAGACATTCTGTGATTTTCAGGCTTCTGGAATCTAGGAATAGTGGGCTGAGTTTTATCCCTGTAGCCTCAGGATCCTGAGCAGGGGGCCGCCGGTTGTTAACAGGATGCCCCACGGGGCACCTCTCAGCAGGCCCGTCTAGGCCTCCGGGTCATTAAGAGCATGGTAACACTAGGTCCCCAGGCCCTGAGCAAGCACCCTCCGCACTTTCTGCACAGAACAGGGTGGGGCTCAAGGCTTTCCCAGCCTCAGAAGCAGAGGTGGCCTGGGACTCGGGCCTACATAAGACAACACTAGGCTGGGTACACATACACCTGGAATCCCAGCAGCTTGGGAAGCTGAAGCAGGAGGATCTCCAGTTCATAGCCAGCCTCTGCAACTTAGTGAGGCCCTAAGCAACTCAGAGTGGCCCTGTCTCGAAATAAAAAATTTTAAATATGGGCTGGGGATGTGGCTCAGTGGTTAAGCACCCCAAAGTTCAATCCCTGGTACCAAAAAGAAAACCTAAGATAACCCTTGGCCCTCACAGCCAAATGTCTATAGCATTGCAATATAAGGATATAGCAATGGTGGTAGTACTTATCATTATTAATCATTACTACCACAAGTACTAAGTAACAAATGTTACTATTTGTTACTGGAAGAATCCCCACTTTTCAAGGCCCCGATATAAACCAGACACATTACATAATCTCATTTAACCTTCTGAATTCCCCTCCTTACAGATGAGGAACCTGAGCCCAGAGGGACTTTGCCACTTGCTCAGGATCACAGAGCCAGTCTGCACCAGAGTTGAAGAGCCGGCACCTCCCAATCCCCTAGACCACCTCCTCATAATGACAACTGGCAATGCCCTTCTTGGGGCCCTTTTGTAGGCCAGGCACTTTCTATAACAGCTTGTTGAGACAGAGTTCACATATCACACAATTTGCTACTCGACATGTACAACCTAATGGTCTGTGGTGTGTGCACAGAGTGGTGTGAACACCACCGTGATCCACTTGAGAGCATTCCTATGACCTCACCCTTAGCCAGTAGCCCACCCCCCACATGCAGTCCGTTTCAAAGACAAAAGGAGTGCAGCTCAGAGTGCTTCTGGGACTTGGTCCGTGGCAAGGGGCAGGGCTGGGATTCTGCCCCCCTCCCCGCCCCGTCCCCTCCTGCACCCTGCCAGGTCTCCTCAGAGTAACCTGTCAAATACGCAGGGTCTGCTGGGGGCAGGAGTGAAAAGCAGAACCAGATGTGACAAATCTTACACGTATGGCCACTGCGGTGCCAGGCCCTGACTCACAGAGGCACAGGGAAAAGGGGAAGCACAGCACAGCCAGGCCCCAGCCCACACAGCACAGGGCATCAGGGCCCTAAGAAGGTGGGACCCCAACCTGCTGACCCCATCCCTGTACTCTGTGACCCTCCAGGACCCACAAGGAGCTGGCCTCCAGGCCAGGCCTCTGTGCTTCTCCCAGGTATGGAGCAACAGTGGCTCTGAGGAGCACCCCTTTTGGTCACCACTGTCACCTGGACACATTCCCAGTCTGGGCTCTTAGGTGTGACAGCACCCCAGACACCAGAGGAAACATTTTGCAAACGGGACCAGCCTCCCCACATTCCTTACTTCCTGCCCCAAGACACTCTGAGTGACTCTGCTGGCCAGGGCCCAGCACTTTTGTCCACGTTTATGACATTCAAATACTCTTGAGCCAATGCCGCCTCCCCAGGGAGCCCTGTGCAGCTCTGGGGCTGGTGCTTCATGAGCTGGGATAGGCCTGGCCCAGGGAGCATAAAGCCAGGCCCTGTGACCCCACCGTCGTCATCTACCTCTGGACTGGTTCCAGGTGCCAGCTTTGGGCCAGGCCTGGGCAGGGCTGCAGGTGCAGAGGCCAGCCCCTGAGCTTGGCCCTCACAGCCAAATAAGCCTGCAGTTGTAGAAGGGTCTGGAGGAAGCCCTCTTGGAAAGACGCACAGCAATGCGGCATGTTCACTGCGCGGGTGAGAAACGCGGTGTCTGAACCAGCCACTGCACCCTCGTTTGCAACCAGAACTTGCAGTAGTGACAGCAACCGTCGCCCCACCTCAGCCTTCCTCCTGCCTGGGCACTGGGCACAGACCACACGGCAGTTACTCCGCCTAACACTGAGGTAGGGCACTTTTAACTTTGCATGTCCTTATGATCCTCATGATCTCCCTGTGGACCTTGTCCATGGCCAGTGCTCCGGAAATGAATTTCAGTACATATTTTTAAACTCATTTGTAATTTTGAAATGTTAGAGGAAAGGGGGTTAAAATCCAGAGACCACATACAAGTGCAGTTAACCTTATCATTGGAAATGCTGGCCTTGGAGGTGAGCTCTGCTGGGTCCCGTGAGATGGCCCCTTGCTTTCACAGGACCTGGGCACTTCCCTGGCCTGGGCTGGGAGTGAGGAAACCCCCACACGGAGAGGCTTCTGGGCTTGGCTACGTGATGACAGGCCCTGGGGACAGGCAATCAGGGAGCACTGCCCTGGGCCTGGAGGGGAGGCGTCCAGTCACTGGACTTCAGGACAGGCTTCTGGAGACAGTAGTGGCTTGGTGGCACAGCCTGAGGTTTAGCCCAGTAAAGTCCATTTTTGCCCCCCGTCCAAGGCAGGGAGGCGGAGGTAGGCCCCTCCCTGAGCCTCCGTTCTGTATAAGGAGCAGGACAAGGGCCTGGAAGCCCACTCAAGGACAGTCTCTGAGACCTGGTCCAGCTCCTGCAAATATGACCCAGAGTCAACTCCCACTCCAGGGGGCATCATGTACAGCCCCTCTTTGGGTCCATGGAGTCCAGTCCAGAGGTGGGGAACAAGTCGCCCAAGGTCGTACAGCTAAGGAGGACATTTACTCAGAGGCCACTAAAGGTGAGCTACATAACCTCAGGAACGCTCAGCCATAGGCCTACCAAAGAGCCCCACCTCCAGCATCCGCCAGCCCCGGGACCACAGTGTCATCCAGCACACTGCCCCATGTGGCCACGAGATGGTGCTTCATGGGGCACTGGGTAGAGCCCTTTATGGCCCTGTCCCTGCAGCATCCAGTGGTCAGCGGCAACTTATCAACAGACCACGGAGCCCATCCAATAACCAGGGAGGTGATGATGATGACGATGGTGCACTTGCGCCTTTGGGGGGTCCCCAGCGTGTGTGGATGACCACTCCTCCGTGCCTCACTGCAGGAGGGCAGAGAAGTGGGAGCTGAAGGGAAGAGGTAAGGGGGTTCCATGGGCCCCAACTGCCAGCGTGCACCAGAGCTTCCTGCCTCTCCATCTGCACAGACAGTGCATCATTCAGAATTGTCAATCCAACTGTGGCCACGACGCAGCTGCTGCACCCAAGACGCCGGTGGCACAGGACTTCGGGGTGAGTGTGGGCTGCCAGCAAGGCTCATCCCAGAACTAGGGCAGTATCTCCTGCTGACCCTACAACCTGGTCTCTCAGAGTCTGTCTTACAGAATCCTCGCCTCTAATCACCTGCAGAGTCTGGTAGAAGGTGTCGGTGCTGGTCCCTCCCTGGAGAGCTGATGCACTGACAGGGGCGTGGGAGATCCTAGAGCATACTCAGCTTTGGAAACCAGCCCTGCCTAGACCGTGGCACTCCGTGGCAGGACTACTGCCTGCAGTGGTGTGAACATTTATTCAGGGTTTGAAGGAGGACCAAAAGCAGTACTTTTTTATATCTAAAGCCCAGATCGCCACACAGTATGTCAGCATGGTATGGTATTCCGATTTCATGAAGGGAGCATGGACAGTGAGGAAAGTATCTCACACGGCCTGTTATGGGGCTGATAACGAACAAGGCTGAGAAGCACAGGCCTAGACGCGGCAGCCAGGACCCTGGGCAGGGAGACACCCCTGAGGATGGCAAGAGGGGAGGATGAAGCTCCCAGCCCCACTAGTGAGGAAGGACTCCCCCATCCCTCCCCATCCTGCTCACCCTCTCTCAAAGCTGAAGACCTCTCTGGGAGGCAGCACAGAGGGTCCGCGGATCCCTTCCGGGATACAACAGCTCCTACCTGACTGTGTGGACTCTGGAAAGAGCCAGCCCCCAGGGCCCTGGGGCCACCATGCGAGCTCACGAGGGCTTGACACACTGAGGAGCGGGCAGCAGGGGCAAGCACCGGCTGAAGCCACCCAGGGCTTTCTGGTTTGCAATGTGGAGCCAACCAGGAGGGGCACTCCCCGAGGAGGACAAGGGACCTAAGACAGGAACTGTGAAGAACTGCAGAGACAGAACAGACTGGCTGACACAGAACAGGAGAGATGGATAAGAGACGAGCAAGAATAAGGACGTTACATAACGACAGTGGTAATAATATCAGGGACTCCCCCTGAGCCCTGAGCCCTGAGCACGCGCCAGGTACACAGCGACCACGTGACGCATGATATCACTAGCAGATCTACTCCGTGAGGCCAGGGACCATGTCTGCCTCGGGACACTACCATAACCCCATAATGTACAATAGTAAATACCTGCAAAATGAATGAATTCCCACTTTACACACAAGGGAAGGACCCACAGAGATGTTAATGTACCCAAATCCCCATTGCTAGTGATTGCACGGCCATGATTCCAAGCCTGGCACTCCCACTGCAGAGCCTGCTTCCTCAGCTCTGTGCTGCCTGGGCCCAGAGGTTCCAGCCAGGTTGCTCATGCCTGGGCCAGGGGGGGTCCATGGATGGTGAGGAGATGAGCAAGATAAAGGTGCCATCCCAAGGACACACAGGGGGTGACCTGCCCACTTGGCTGAATTAAGTGTGAGGTCATGGCCCCTTCAGCAGCTTCCCACCTGGCTGAGCCTGAGCCTGGTGGCCAGGAAGAGAATGCAGTGACCTCTCTGGGAGGCAGCACAGCTCCTGACTCTGTGCACACTGAGCAACAGGCCTGTAGGAATCCCAAACCCAGGGCAGCCAGGGAGGGGCGGGGGGAGTAGCCTGCAGCTCCAGAAGAGGGAGAGTGAGTGAGTCCCTTACCAATCCATCACAGTTGCTGATGGCAACAGCTGCCCCGGGCATTCCAGTGACACCTCCAGTGTACACACACTCCTGCTGCAAGGGTTGACGGAACAGCTCCCGAAAATCCTCTTGCCATTCCACGGAGGCTCCCGGCACCACCAACCTCCAGTTGGGACGCAGGCACAAGTGCAGCTCCTTCCCAAAAATGGTCACGTTGAAGTAGAGAAAGTGGCGCCCCACCTGGCCAGGCTGCAGGGTCTCTCCTTCTGGGTGCAGGGGACTGCGAGCCACCCTGAGGTGACTGGAGTGCAACGGTGGCCTGTCCATTACCACGCTCCCCTTGGAGGCCGCTGCTGGGCCAGACACCACGTGGGAGAGGAAGCGGCCCCGAAAATCTGTGCTGAAGGGCACCGTCACACCATAGTCACTGAGCTTCCCAGAGAGGCGCAGCTCTGTTAGAGGTAAACAAAGAGTCACTTCAGTGGGCAGAAGTCAGGCGAAGGGACAACCCTGAGTGTCACCTGAGATGAAGCCCTTAGCCCAGGTTCATTCATCCTCCACCCATCACTTTCTGAGCTCCTGGATCCTTACACTTGGATGAACGATGCTCAGGCACTTTGTGGACATGAAATGCTCCCTGAAGCCTTCAGGTCCTTTTTAAATTTAGCAGATGAAAACAAATGATGTCAAACAGTTCTGTCACTCTAGTAACAAGGCTCCCAACCCTGGGCACGGTCTAGGAAAGGACTGAAATTCTCCGAAGTCCCCCAGGGCAAGAGAGGAAAGAAGAGATCTGCCCAAACTTCCTCAATGAGCTGAGGTCACCAGCCCAGCCTGGGGTAAGGCCCTCCTCACCAAGCTCCCAAGAATGCAGCTGGCAAAACAAACACACCTAGAAACCCAGGGGATGGCAGAGGGAGCTGCAGAGCGGGGGAGGGAACGCATGGTTCTATGTTTTTCCAAAGTTAGAAAGCAAACTTTTTAAAGCCACACAGTGGCTGCTGAGATTTTTGCATGGCCCAGCCCCAAACAGGATAAATATAGACCTTCAAAAATAAAAGGACACACAGGGGGTGACCTGCCCACTTGGCTGAATTAAGTGTGAGGTCATGTCCCCTGCTCCAGGCCCGATGCCCAAGGGCCCCATCCTTACATTCTCCCTGCGCCCAGCAGGAGTGACAGCGCTCTGGCTGCCAGGCCTGGTGATCAACGGGTACAACTTTGGGAGGCGTTTCCATTTCTACACAGCTCTACCCCTCCCTCCCCAGTTCACGGCACCCATAAAACACAGAAAATGAGGCGTCCTGAAAATCCCCAACACCCAAGACAGTTTCAGGCAAGCCAGTGCTACCTCTCTTCCAGCGTTCCCCAGGATAGCAGAGGTCACCAAGAGGCTGCAAGAAGAGTCCCACTTTGGCACTGAGTGGAAATGACCAGAGCCTACTCCTCAGGCTCAGGTATCCCATACTGCAAGGTGAGGACAGTGTAGGGCCTTTCCCTGAGAAAGCTTCTGCGGAGTCTGAGAATGCTACACGAGGGACTAGAGGGGTGTTTCTGTGCAGAAGTGTGGGTGCCTAGAGCTCTCTGTGATGGAGGGAAATCACCTGCTAGCCTGATTCTGTGCGGGGAGGGGGTGGGGAACCAGACGCACGCTCACATGCATGCGCACCCAAGTTGGAAACGGAGCAGATTCAGAAAGAAAGATTCACTGGAGAGAGATGAGAGAGGAGGCAGAGAGACAAGCACACCCTCAAAGACAAAGGGACAGATCTGCACCCTAAGGAGAGACTCGGTGTTCCTAAATCCCCTCCTGGGGTCTCTCTACCTTTAGTGACATTACCGGGGAGAAAAAGAGCGGCAGTTCAGCCTCGACTGTGCGCACCGCCTCCCACAGGCTGCTGGGGTGGCTCAGGCACCCTGGGCCACCCTGAATGCATGCACCCTGACCCCACGCGTCCCCGCGCGCCCGACCCGCACGCACCTGGGGTCTGGCTGCCCACGGCGGCGCAGAGCGCGCAGTGCAAGGGCAGCAGGCAGGACAGCAGCGCGCAGAGCGGAGCCATGTGGCCGTGCCGGGTCGCGGGCCAGGCAGGCGGTGGAGCCCCAAGCCCGGGGTGCGGGAAAGGTCAGGGTGCGCCCGGGGCTGCCCGAGCGCTGGCCGGCCTCCGCCTCACAGCCTCCCGCCCGCCCGCGCCGACCCCTGCACGGCGCCGCCGCCTGGATCCCTGGCTCCGGGCGCCCGAGGCGGCCGGCGGGAGAGCGGAGTCGCGGACGCGCCAGCGCCCCGGGTGCCAACTGCCGGCCGGTGCGTCTGCCCGCGCTCGGGGATGCGGCGGGCGCCGGGCTGGGGGCTGCGGGGCGGGCCAGGGGTGGGCACACCGGGCGGGGCGGGGCCAGGAGCGGGTAGGAGCAGGGGGCGCCGCGCGCCCGGGGGCGGGGCGCGGGACTGGGGAGTGCCGCAGCGTGCGGCCGGGATCGGAAGTGCCACGCGGAGCAGGAGCAGGGGCTCCTGGCGCACGGGGCGACGGTCCCTTCAGAGCCAGAGCTCTCCTGAGTGACGGTTCGAATCCGCTTTCCCTGGCCTCGGCTGCAGGGCTGGCTCTCTGTGACCGCCTCAGAACCACGGAGCCAAAGGAATGTCTGACTGCGTTTGGACGGTGGGAGGTGGTGGGCCCCTTAGGAGAAGACATCCCCCTCTTGCATAATGGTCCTGATGTCCCACCAACCACGGACCCCTTGGATCTACCCACTTTGCAGACTACAGTTCCCTGGGTCCCCGGGTACACGGACTGTCCTGTGTCCTAGCCAAGAACAGGACTGAGCCAAGTGAGGAGGTAGCCCTGACTTTTCAGTCAGACAGCCCTGATTGAAATCCCAGCTCTGACCCTCATTTTCCTCATCTCTAAAATGAGTGTTAACCATAGCACATAGTAGATGCCCAATAAATAAGTGCCCTCCATTTCCACCCCTGGCACCAGTCGCGTCAGCTGTGGCCCACAGTGAAAAGATCCAAGAGTCTGAGATCTGCGAGTGGGTGCTGGTCTGGCCGTGATGTTGAGACCAGGTCAGTGGTCAAGACCAACATCCAAGAGAAAATCCATATTCGTGCTTCATTCTGTAAATGTGTTCCGGTAATTTGAAAAAAAAAAAATTATATTTCAAAGGTGGGATCCAGAGATGGGAACTGGAGAAAGGGAGTTTGTTTGTTTGTTTTTATAAATGGAATGAAAAGAATCTTTGATGCTGAGGTTTTGGAGGGCTGGCTTTTTTTTTTAATATTTATTTTTTAGTTGTAGTTGAACACAATACCTTTTTTTTTTTTTTATGTGGTGCTGAGGATCAAACCCAGGGCCTTGCAATGCTAGGCCAGCACTCTACTGCTGAGCCACAACCCCAGCCCCAAGGCCAGCTCATTTCTAAAGTAGGTTCAGAGGGCTGAACAACACCACACCAGAGCATCCGGTTTAGAAATGCCACCCACCAAACTGATTTATATGGAGTTCTGGAAGAAGGAATTGCTCTTCCTCCTCCTTCTGGTCCTGCAAAACCAGAAAGCCAAGACCCAGACAGGGCTATGTGCGTGAGGACCACCAGAGAAGGAATGCAGGGGTGAGAGGCACGTGGAGGAAAGACTGAGCCCAGATGGGAGGGTCCTGCGCTGGGCCTCTGCAAACCCACTTAGTCGTGGTGGGATAATGGCTTCCCTTTGCACTGTCTCAGTTTTCCGAGCTGCAAAATGGGGACTGAAGGGACACATGTCATAAGGATCACTCATTATCTCCCTGCTGAAAGACCATTCCAGAGAAAATGTGGGGGCTCCACTCCACCCCCTTCTTCCTGCCTCAAGCAGGGCAAGTCAAGAGGGACAGATTGCAGCTGGGACCCCAGGTCTGACTCATGAGCCGTGGGCTGGGGCCTTCCCTGGAGCCAGTGTTGGCAAACAGAAAGCAAAACCTCACCCTGCGTCTCCCCCACCCCCTTCCCTGGGGCTACAATGGCTGCTTTTGTTGGCACATATTGTGTGTCCCAGCTCTGTTCCACTGAGGACGCTTTGTTAGGCAGAGGGGACACAGGGGAATAACTCAGTCTGGGCCAGAAGGTCTGGGAATGGCTGGGGTGGCCCATTTCTGGAGATGGACAGGGCCAAAGCAGAGAAGTCCACTGGCGTCGGCTGGGGACCCCACTAGGAAGGCAAGTTGTGGGTTGCCTTGGGACTTGGCTCAGGGGAGAAGGGCTTGGGAGTTTCTCAGGCTGGTGGTCTCCCCACGCTCATCCAACACCCAGCCCAAGGCCCTGAGGCAGGGGGAAGCCGGAAGTCGGTTCTGCATCGAGCCAGCCAATGGGGGGACCTGGCACAAGCAAGAGAAAGTCTGAAAACCAGGTGAGACAGGACTAGAGAAATGTCCCCAGGTGAATGACAGGACCACCAGGGAGGAGTAGGGGGCTTCCAAAAAGAAGGGACTCAAAGGGCGGAATCATGAAAGGCTGAATCTGAGCCAGAGCTTCCACAGCAGAGGGGAGAGGAGGAAGGGTCCTGGTTGGGGAATGGATGGTCCCAGCCCAGGGAAGAGTTGGCCAGTGTTGAGTGAGCGACCCAGGCAGGGGGAAGGAAGGTGGACCAGCTAGAACCGATGGATTCAGGAAGCCAGAAGGTTGAGGTGTTTAGCACCAAAAGATCGTGCAGCAAGTTCGAGGATCAGACGGGCAGGCTGAGGCAGGGCCAAACCCCAGCACTGACGAGGAAGGTAGTCTTGGCCAACAGCCTGCAGTGCTTTGAACAGAGACAGAACCCCAGAGATTTGGAGCTACGGGGGTTCTGATCAGTCTCTAATCCAATGCCCGGCTCCATTTTGCAATTAGGTAAACTGAGGTCCAGAATGGAAAAGGGACTCACCTCTGGTCACAATTGGTTTGGAGTAGGGCCAGAGCCCCTGACCACAGACCTGGGACACCCACACTCTCACCTGGGAGAGCACCACCTCCACCAGTTCCCAGTTCCTGGCCTCCTCATCCCTGACGGAATGAGGTGGATCGAGGTTGAGAGAAAATCTCCCCACATCAAGGGGAGTTCCCGACACCCCCAGGGGAAGTACATGTGTCTGTAGCAAGAGCCAACAGCTCCCAGAGAGGTTGCTGCGGGTGACCCAGAGGCACAGTGTTGTCACAGCTGGGGGTGGGGGCACGAAGGTGGCTGTCATTTTGGGTACCAGCTGCTGAGCTGAACGCTGTACGTGATTCATCGACACCTGAAGGAGGTAAGGACTCCGAAACCCAGGCAGAGGGTCCTTGTCTTATCTGCCCTGTGACCAACAGGGCTCTGAAGAACGTGGGAGAATTCCACCCCTGGCTCAGTGAAAGCCACCACTGTGAACCTAGACGGTCAGGGAGCCAGCAGCTGGGTCACCCCTCACCCGCCTGAGCCACCACCTCCACATCCCATGGAGTCCACCCCAAAGGATCCTCCAAATACAGCGAGGTTTCTCCATCTCAAATGCCCCCCACTGACCCGTCTGTGCCCCAGCAACCTTCTCTGGACACTGCCATACTTTTGTCCTAACAGATTGACCCAGTCCTCTTTGTCCCCTAGAATCTTTCCAATGACATCAGAGAAGACATTTGAGACCTATCTCATGTCACATGGCCCTGTCTGCTGGTAGAACTCCACAGGCTCTGTTGGTCTTGGGATAAAGGCTGGACTCCCTCTGCCCACCCTGTTGCCTCCCGGGCCCTCCAACCTAGCTCCCTGTGGGTGCCACGTTTATCCTGCCGCAGGGCCTTTCCACAGGCTGTTCCCTCTGCCTGAAGCCTCCACCCTCCCTCTTCACACAGTCAATTGCTGCTACCTTCAGACATCCTCCTTCCTAAAGCCTCCCCCAGCCTCCCAGGCTGACCTCATCCCCCTGATGTTACACCATCTCCGTCTCCTTCCCAGCAGCTCGCACTTGAGTTTCGCCTGCTGTGTGTGATCTGCAGATTCATGTCCGCTTTCTCCCAGCCTGTGAGTTCCACAGGGAGCAGGGAGCAGGGGGTTCTTTTTCCTCACTGTGTGCCTAGCGCCTGTCTTGTGTTGGGGCACATAATAGGCCCTCAATAAATAATAAGTTAATCGTCAAATAAGTGAGCGTTAGAGAAGGAACAGTGCCTGGAAAATTGGGGGAATGAAGCATGTCTCAGAACTATCATCATTCCAGGGGGAAATTTGAGGCAAGCTTGGGAGTTTTGTTTTGTTGGGGGGGGGCAGTATTTTTAGATATTGGGAATTGAACCCAGGGGTGCTTTACCACTGAGCCACGTCCCCAGTATTTTATTTTTCTTTGTGGTGCTGGGGATTGAGCCCAGGGCCTTGTGCATGTGAGGCAAGCACTCTACCAACTGAGCTCTATCCTCAGCCCACATTTTATGTTTTATTTAGAGACAGGGTCTCACTGAGTTACTTAGGGCTTCAGACTTGTGATCCTCCTGCCTCAGCCTCCCAAGTCCCTGGGGTTACAGGCCTGTGCCACTCTGCAGGGAGAGACTTGCTTGGCAGTTCTGAGCAAGGTCACCCGTCTCCACAGGGGGGAGAAGAATTGACTTCCTGTTCCCGTAAGCCTTGAAAAGATCTTGAAAATAGAAACAACCACCCTGGTTGACACTTGTGGGCCAGATGCCTTAGGCATTTCTCTCGATGGTTACAGATGGGGAGGCCAAGGCGCTGCCAGCCCGGGCAGTTTCCCCAACACCCGCAACTGCTAAACAGCAGAGTCATTCTCAAACCCTAGTCGGCTGTCATTCACCCTGACACCCGGAGACCCCCCACCTCCACCCCCTTCCAGCTCATCTCGCTCATTTTTTTTAAAAGGAGTTTCGTTCGATTTTATTTGTAGGGCCGGGGACTGAACCCGGGGCCTCACGCCTGCAGGCCAGTGCTCACCACTGAGCCACACCCCCAGCCCTCACCCAGCTCATTGTGTTTTCCTTCTCATTTTTAATAATTTTTTTTTTGCTGTGAAAATGATAATACATCCAGAAAAGTGCCACCTGCCCATCTTACAGAGGGGCAAACTGAGGGCACACAGTGACAACCCATACCTCCTGGTTCCAGTCCAATGAGCTT